TCAATGCCCACAGTAGGACGAAACGGCCATCCAGTGCTTCCAGGTTTTCCTTGGTGGTCTATCTACAATTAACTCATGATCTCAACTATTAAAATTACATTTATTTATCTCTTTTTATAAATGTAGTTACGGGAAAAAAATAAACAAACGAAACATCCCATTATTCTTCATTTAATTTTTTTGAAAAATTGAAATTCATCTTGATATCATTGGATTTTCTTTTAATATTTATTTATTTTACAATGGTTGGTTTTATTCGATGTAATTTCACTCTTTTACTTAAGCCCCCATCCCCGCCTTGTGAAAGTTTATATTGAACATTGAATAATTTTGCATTTCGCCCTCCCTCTCTCTCTCCTTTTGTGTGTGTGTGTATTTGAGTGTGTGTATTTGTCCATTTTCATTTCTTTTTGCATTTGTATTTGTTTATGGTCATCTTTTGATATTTCAATCCTTCTAGTTTGGTTTTCATTAAACATACATTTCAATTTAATCTATGTTATCAAACTTTGATAAAGAGGATTCACTAGGGAAAAAAACACAATTAATTTCCATTTGTAAGAGTTTGTATCTTCTCATTGTTGATATTAAGGATTGTAATTGATCAATCTATTTTGCCATGTTTACTAAAAAATCGAGCTTATCATTGGATAACACTTTTGTTGCATTCCACTCATGTATTTAAACATTAACAATTGAAAAATGCAATCCTTTATCAATAAAATTCATACCCGTTTCATAAGCTAGTGACTATCTGAATTCAATAGCTCAGTGGGTAAAAGATTGACTTCTGTAGCGAAGTGGATTGGATTGGAGTTTCAATATGATTACCAATACTGGAATGTGGTGGGTACTTTCAGCTGAGGATGAGCCATTCATAGGACGAAACACGTTTTTCTAGATTCCACCGCTAGTTATTATCCAAATTTATAAAAAAACATTGAATTTCTGTTTTCCATTTCTGATTTTTACCTGTTCTTTGACTTCTTTACTGATGTCAATTATATTTCAGAAAAATTGGTCCTCTATACATTAAAAATAGTGCCAAATAACAGCGTCCAAAGTTTCCTGTTGACTATCTCCAAAGACCATCTTATCTTTGAACTATATTTGAAATATTCATCTTGTAAGGATTAGTCTTCGAATAGTATTAATGTATGTACTTTGTTTAAAAATGGAATACTGTAACCAAATAGTTAATAGCACAAATAGATCCACTCTTTTTCTTCTCTTAGATCTTGAGTTTTGAAATTATTTTATACTATTTTATTGGACTAACTGATTCTTTCCTCTTGTGTCTTACTGTCTATTCTTAAATACTTATATTGTGGTGCGTGTTACTTATATTGATATAAGTAGTATATGACGCAAGTTAGGAATGCAATGTCAGGCAGCAGAAGATAGGGAAGATCAAGAAAGAAAGAACGGTAATAGAGAGAAATTATTATGGAAATTTAAGAACAATGAAGTCTGAGATAATTGTTGAAAATTTTGCAAATTAAGGATTATAGTGTGATTTTTCTTTTTTATCAAGTAACTGTATTCGACATGAAATTACAGAACATTTCACTAAAATCTGAGAACCATGTAATAAATAGTTAGTTTGCAAACTATCAATACATCGTCTCAAACTTGACCGTTCCTTTGCAAATACCAGTCCATTGTCTCACATTTTGTTGTTCATGCGTTTTCATACCAATTGCGTTACGTTTCCTTTTTTGCCTATCGATCTTCTGCTAAAATACATTCTCTGCCTGACCACCGTTATATGCTACTTATATAAATATAAATAACCCACACCACACTCATCCCCTCTTTAAAGCACCCGTTCTTGCGGTGGTTCTGCTCGTCGTGCCACATTCTTCTTCTCTGCAGTCTGTGCGACGCTCTCCATCAAAATGTTGAATGTGTGGCGCACTGAACTCCATAGCTCCGTCGAACTGCCGGGTTATCAACATCCGACATCCTCCCGGCACCTGGGACGTTCAATGTCTGCGCTCCAGCGATCTGCTGTGCTAAATATAATTCAGTTGTCCTCACCTGTGTTCTCCTTCACTACAGTACTACCACTAATATTGTTACTATTTATAATATCCTGGAATTGGTCTTGATTATTCTATTCGTTGAGCTATTGTGTCGTACTGTAGTGAACGAAAATTTGATGGGGAGATCTAAATAATTGTTAAATAAAAAAATTGCAAAATATCTTCATAAAATATGAAAACCATACATCCAATACTTTATTTGTACACCTTCCTCCAATTGTCTTTTACATTCTTCATGATTCCTCTGATTTTCAATTCCTTTATGTTTCCTTTTCTGTTTTGTTTAGTTCAATCTTCTTAACCTTCTTTTAATAGACATTCCACTTCTGATTGTTGTTACATACTACTTATGCATATTGATATAAGTAGTATATACCACAGTATGTCAATTTGAACTCATACACATATGTATCCATGATTTATATTGCTTACATTTCACTGATTTAATTCACAAACTAGATTAAACTAAAGGAAATCTGCAAATAGTAGTAATTAAGAAAATTCTTTTAAGTTCTATACATGACGTAATTGACTGGTTTATTAATGATAGTTATTCAATTACCAAAGTACATTTCCTTTTTTGATGTTGTACTCAATGCAACAAGTTAAAATGCAAGTTGGGTGAAGGGTGACACACTTATACTGATAACATAGAATTCTATGTTATCCTATACCTAATTGAATAACACCATATATCTTAAGGATAAAAATGATGCTTGTTACATGTTCTACTCTATAATAAGGTTAACATCATATGAGAGAGAGAGAGAAAAAAAACAGAAGCTCTTATGTTCCCCTTAACATTGTAATATTAATATTCTCTTAACTTTAATAAAAATGAAAGAATAAAGTATACCAACATAATCATTACTACAGTATTTAGTACCCTTTTCTAATTAAGTGTTCTATGTAGGTTAAGAGAAAGCTAGCAAAAAACAAACCAAAATATGATACTAGTCGATGAAGTGAACGAAAATCGGTATGAGCTTTGTGTCAGTAGATATACATTACGTGGTTGCTTTCTGAGTAATAATAACTGTCAATGGTTGAAGACTTTGAGTGAGATAGTTCAAAATCAACTACAATGATGCAAATGTATTCATCTGTTGTCTTACTCTAGATCTTCGATTCTAGTATTCCTTCATACATATCTTTTCAACCTGTATTCTCGAAATTCAGTCTTTTTTATTAGCATTATAATCAGAGAGGGGTTTTGTGGATATTATAGTAATTTAACAGTTGGACTGATGAGTCAATTTAAGCTAAACCACCATGGAAAACCTGTAAGCCGTGACCAGTGGAGTTCAACCGGGTCTGTTGTGAGATAATAACTCACTGAAGACAATGGTGGACGGTCGTGCAACTTCATGAATTGGTTGAAGTCAGACATTAACACCGTTGGATGTCGGCTAGCTCAGTGGTCTAACGGATAAGCGGTCGCGTGCGAGACCGACAAGTCCTGGGTTCGAATCTCGCGGGAGGCGGGATCGTGGGTGCACACTGCTGAGTAGTCCCTCAGTAGGACGAAACGTCCATCCAGTGCTTTCAGGTTTTCCATGGTGGTCTAGCTTCAATTGACTCATGAATTCAACTATTGGATTTTTTATTAACGTTGTTACCGGATAATTTTGATTCGTTTGACTATTTACCTTGTTTATGTCAACTCGTTTTGTTAATGAAGGATGTTAACGTCCAGAAACGCGCAATTGTTGCATGTTTTACATTGATTATGGCTGATTGATTTTAGCATGCTTCAATGAATTATTAAAATTATGGTTAATAGGTGATAACAATAAAAATGAATATATTCTATATGGTTGTGTAAGATGACACAAAACATGACACTTTCACTTTTGAATAATTTAGTGTTATTCCTTTAAGCAGGACGGAGATGATAAGATCAATATAAATCTCGCAGAGATAAAGAAAATGATTTTCTTATTTATAAGGAAAAAGTGGGATGTTGACACTAGTAAAATAAGGAGTACCTAAACGTACCTCTAGTTGGAATTTAATCTAATTGGTAATAAAATACGATTATCATACGTCAAAATACTGAGTTCTGTGAAAAACGTACAATATTTCTTTCGATTACATAATTCTGAACTTAGGTGGTTAGAAGTAGCCAATAGAAAACTCTGTATCAATCAGGTATCATGCTAAATAGCACTAGTCAGTAGGGGATGCCTATAGTCTTGAGGAAACTTATGCTTTATGAAGAATTGAACTTTACATTATCCGGCTTCACAATCTGAAACGTCGCCACTGATGTATTCGGGCCTTGACTAACTCCTAATAGGGGTGAAGTCTTTACGGTCGCGCCGTGACTAATATTATGTCTGTCTAGTTATTTACTAAATGCATTACAACTTGATCGATAAAATTCAATCAGCACTTTTTAAGGACTAGATATATGCTCATTAGTGACCAGCTTCGAGAAGAAATTCTCAGGTTTCTAGTGGGAAGCAGTGGAGTTGAACCGTGTTGGGTATAAGGCAGTTATCCACCGAAGGCAGTGAAATATGGTCGCTCAATATCATGGGTTGGTTGAAGTTGGACATTAACACCGTCGAACACCGGGTCAATGGTCTAGATATTAAGCGTTTACACATGAGACTGAAGGTCCTGGGTTCTAGTACGGGGTCGTGAATGCACACTTCTGAGAACTCCCGTATTAGAACAAAACCGTTGTCTATTGCTTTCAGATTTTTAATGTTTGTCTAATTTAGATTGGTACATAATCTCAACGATACATCCACTGTGAACATTGTGATTGTGTGTGTGTGTGTTTGTGTTTAAATCACGGTTTGTTTGTAAATACAATAATCACGCCTTATTTTGTTCTATAGCTAACATAGAGTTCTGTAAATTTGACAAATATTTGGAATATAGATTTATTTAATGTTTCGAATCATTTATCACGTTATCATTGTTATTATCAATCCAATTTTGTAGGGAATGGTACAGTTGAATTTGACGAGTTCTTAAGAATGATGCGAAGGTATTCTCAAAATCAACGACCAAAATCTTCTGATGATGAACTTCGTGAAGCTTTTAACGTAAGTAAATGTTTACTATAATGTAATTTCCCTTTTATATATTTCAATGGATTACATCAAACTAATTTATATGTTCGTAGATTTTAAATCACAAATTGGTCTTAGTTAAATCATTAATGAAATCTTGAAAGAACTAAATGAATGTTTCTTCCTAGTATGGGACTCATCAGTGCATATCCAGGAATTGAATCCAGAACCTTCGGTCTCACGTACGTACCCCTAGATCACCGAACTGGAACTCAGAGGATGTTAATATCTAACTTCAACGAATTCAAGATATTACGTGACCATTTTCCATTCTCTGTGATGAATAACTGAACTCCTGGATACGGCGTCATAGATGCTCACTACCAAATGTCATGCAAGGACGGAACGGCCTTCAGGTTTTCAATAGTGGTTTATTTAAGATCAGTTCATGATTTTAAATCTGTGCAAATTCTATAATCAGCTCAAAATCCTATACTGAATATTTTTTTACCACAAATACATGATCTAACATGTATTAATAAAAAAAATATGAACTAAGAATTTATTCCATTTTGTATGTATACTGTTCGATAAATAAAGACTGATAGTATACACAATGATGAAAATGAGATATAGTTCCTCAACAACACATGTGTAATCTGGATTGCATACTATAAATTCAATTCATATACTTGACTTTATAAACGAACAATTTAATGTTGAATGTTGAATGATGTAATATCCTACCGATTCTTCATTTTCACCAAATACTCATTCTGTATTGAACAAGAACACAAGTGGGGAGAATCGAATGTATTTTATACGAAATTACAGAGCATCTCAATAGAATATGAGAACCATATAGTAAATACTTCATTTGTAATATATCAATCCATCGTCTCAAACTTGACTGTTCCATTTGCCAATATCAGTCCATTGTCTTGGATTTCATTGTACATACATTTCCATACTAAATGTGTTCCGTTCTCCTTCTTTCCTTCTCGATCTTCTACTGAAATACATTCTATGCCTGACCATCATTATATACTACTTATATGGATATAAGTAACCTACACCATACACTTACATTATTTAATACATTATAAATTTTTAGGTACACTCTTTTCGAATTTATAATTAGGATGTATAATTACTAAAATACTTCCCTATTTCTAATTGGTTTTCTTTATCTTAATATCTCATTTAGAACTTCCCAAAATCACCCTTCAAATAGAAGTGGATCGTCTTTTTTGTGTGTTTTTTTTTCGCATAGCGATTAATTTAATTGTTTATACCCTTTATCTTTAATTATCAAACAACGTGAATAAATTTTCTAATGAAGACAAAAAATGCTGAAATTTAAAGCAATGAGTGTAGTTCATCAACTTGTTCTGTAGTTCATTTAACTTATATATTGAATAATCTATAATATAGATTTATTTTTCTGTAGTCACCTGGATACATGATCAAGTTTGATGTAAGAATATGTTGGAAGAAAGTTAAGGATTTACCGAGCCAATATGTATGTACTATCCATTCATGAAGTGATAGACTACTGAACTGAGCCATGTTTATAGGTATTAAATAATGTAAGGGTATGGTTTGGGTTACTTATATCCATATAAGTAGTATATAACGGTGATCAGGCATAGAATATATTTCTGTAGAAGGTCAATGAAGAAAGAACGGAAACGGAACGCAATTAGTATGAAAATGTATGAACAATGAAATCTGGATTGATGTTTGCCACTGGAACAGTCAAGCGTGAGATGATTGATTGATATATTGCAGATTAATTATTTACGATATGGTTCTCAGATTTTAGTGAGATGCTCTGTAATTTCGTATCAATTACATTCGATTATCCCCACTCGTGCTCCGTTCAATGCATTACTACTTATACTCCTCTGGGTTTTGTGTCTGTAATTTCATCTCCCTGTTCTAATATTAAGGTATGGTAATTTGAATTGATACATACATGTACCAGGTTCTACGTTGCATATGAATGACTGAGTAATAGTTTTATCAGTATTAACAGATTGGGTTGAAATGGAAAGAATATAATTATGGTATGTATTTTGTCTTTGATATATTGATTTAGTACTCCTTTATCCAGCTCGCTCGTTTATCTGTTCTGTGATTTCTCAAGCATTTTATTGTTTTTTTACAAACAATTTTATTTTAGTATCAGAAGGGGTTTTGTGGATATTATAGTAATTTTATTAGTTGAGATGATGAGTTAATTGAAGCTAGAACACCGTGGAAAACCTGGAAGCACTGGACATCTTCAAGAGATATTTCTTGGAGTTCTAGTGAGAAGCAGTGAGCAGTCGAGTTCAACCGGGTCTGTTGTAAGATAGCAACTCAGTGAAGACAATGGTGGATCTGTCGCTCAATTTTGTGGATTAGTTGAAGTTAGATACTAACACCATCGGATGCCGGTTCAGTGGTTTAGAGGTTAGGTGCTAGCTCGCGAGGTGGTATCGTGGATGCGCACTACTTAGTAGCCCCAAAATAGAACGAAACGGCCATCCAGTGCTTTCAGGTTTTCCATGGTGGTCTAGTTCCAATTAACTCATGATCTCAACCATTATACTTTTATTTTAATAAACCAACAGACAACTTAGAGTACAAGATCACAATGCAAAATATCACCAATCACTGATTTGTTTAAAAAATTATGTAATGCAATACATATAATTAATAATAATACTTTGAACTATCACGTTGTTGATATTCATAAGTAAATTTTGATCGATCTTTATTGACATATGTGTACCTTGTGACCATTTTGTCACAATTTTCGTAGAATAGAACTTACTTGCGCTTGTTACTCCTAATGGAGCATAGGCCGCCGATCAGCGTTCTCCGACCCACTCTGTTCTGGGCTTTCTTTTCCACCTTGATCCATTTCTTGTTCATTTTTCTCATGTCTATCTCTATTTCCCAGCGTAATGTGTTCTTTGGTCTTCCTCTTTTCCTTTGGCCTCATATGGAATCCTCCACGTAGAATAGAAGACTTTTGTTTAACAGTGGAATCCAGAACGTGCGTTTTGTCCAATTTAAAACTTATTAGTTGGATGTAAATATATCCTAGTTTTTATGTTCTTAGAGGGACCCGAAGTCAATACTTTTCTCTTCTCAAATACCAAAGTATTGTCCACTGGACTAGTTAGTCTAAATAGTTCTCAACTTGTCCGAAAAGTAATATATTTAGATTACTATTAGATAGAGTTTGGATTGAAGTGAAATGTGTTAGGTTTCAGTTCTGAAGTGAATATCAACACTAAGATGTGTAAGTTACATTCAGTTAAATGGTATAAATAGTATAAAACTCACATCCTGGATTCTGCTGCCAGTCACAAACCATCTGTTCTGTTTAAAACTATTATTATTGTCTTTATGACCACTCTGCTTTTTATCTTGTTTAATTTCTTTCCTTAATGTTCCAACGAGAAGTACCATGGCTTTGACCGGTCCTTGTGCAGTGATGCTTAAACCTTACATTTTAATTTGTGAATATTATATATATATATATATATATATATATATATATATATATATGAGGTTCCCTCCCTAAAAAGGATGATCAGCGTTAGACTCTATCCTTAGCCATATGTGATGGCATCATAGGGTACTAAAATGCACCATCTCTTGGACTCCAACCAGGGAATTGAAATTAATTGACAAAGCTCAGTTGGACACAACTTCCTGTTACATCAATTAATGCAATGTATAACAGCTGCTAATATGACTTTCGTAAACTACAATCAAACTAATGAATTCACGGTTTGTAGATGTTGACACTAACTGAATTATCTTCACCTTCCCTGAGCACACATTGCGGAGCCTCAGCATCACTGACATAATGTTGACGCTGAATATGAGCAATAAGCTGAAGACAATAATAATCAAGCATGAATTCCCCGAACTACTCTTACCGACCTGTTGTAAACCCAACCTATTAAACACAGACCAACATCACAGCAACACTAAAAATGGCCCAACCCTACTTTTTCTATTGATTTGATCTGCCACCCCACCAACAGCACTCGCTTAACTACCCAGATACAGGGAATTTCGAACTGTTTCCAAAACATGGCCATAAAGAATTGGTGTTAGTATATGTTGTGATTATTTCTCTGCAGTAGATAACACTACGTAGTCTAGTCTAGTATATATACATTTAACTTATTTGGTTCCATTCTTTTTAATTACAATAGATGCTTCATTGATTAGTACTGTTTTTTGTAATTCGTCTTCTTTCTATCCGGAAAGTAATAATAATAATACTTCACAAGCAGTTGTATGTGTATGTGAATGTGATGGTACACATTACATATTACATATCATTGTAAAATCACTTCACTCCATTGTTTTATTTGCGTTTAAAATTCTGTTCAATTGAATTAATTCTACTTCATACTTACTTGTAATACACAATGAATAATACAAATGACCGACGTGAGCAATAAAGAGTGGAGAGGGATAAAGAAAATGCACAAACAATAAAATTGTACATCCCATACCATCTCACCCTCACAGTATTTGACTATAACAATCAGCATTTTATTATCTTTTTATGATCAGAATATGGATAAAATAGAGTTGGGGGATGGAGAAGCGGGGTTATTTATTCCATTTATTGAATGTGCATAGACCTGTATGTATATGTAGATGCGTCTACAATTATATACATGAATAACTGATGTTACTTTGGCTAATGTAATAAGACAAAGATTATCAGAACTATGTTAGCGCAACACGTTTCGAACAATCTGATCATACATATACGTATTAGAAACATTTCTATATGAAAAAACTAAAGGGTGAACTAGACACAGTTTATTCTCACGTTAAACCCACCCTGGTAATATTATAAGAACGTTCGTCTAAATTTGATCGAACAGTTTCACAGTACTTGGGCATCGAGTTGATATGAGACATTAAAAAGGAAGAATGTATTTATAAAATCTCAGCGAATGAATTTGAAGTAAATCTAACGTATCACCTGGTAATCTCATTAGATTTCCGTGAAAAAACTTGGACCAGATTGCCAGACGAAACATTGGATTTACTTCAAATTCATACGCTAAGATGGTACAAATACATTCTTCCTGGTAATATAAGTTTATTATTCAGCGTGATGAGTTTTCACATTGTTTTTTTATAAAAATATTATCCTCTCTATTATCTTTGTTTGCTTTTACCCTCCATTTCTAGTCTAGTTGACCTTTTATTTTCGCCCATATCAATGTTCTTAACAAGGTGTATGTATTTAGATGGTGGTTAGAGGTAGTCGACAGGAAACCCTGGATCCGAGTTTCATGCTACTTGGCACTCATCAGCAAGGTGTACCTGTAATCTTGAGGGAACTGGTGCTTCCTGACGGATTCCATCCCGTGTCACCCAGCTTCACAGTCAGAGACGTTACCACCAGGCTATCCGAGCCAGGGTTTCCTGTCGACTACCTCCAACCACCATCTTAACATAGTGCACGCAGTGTCGAGTCACCTAGACTTGTGGCCACATTGCAACTTGGTCGATAGCATTCGATCTGCACTAATAAGGACTTGACACACATGACGTTGATCACCATCCAGTGATTAATCAATTGTGAAGATGTATGGGTGATCAGATTGCTCGAAATGTTTATTACACCAATATATCATCATATAGTTCTGATAATCTTCGTCTTATTATTATGTAACTAATTTTTAGATAATGATGATGAACTCTTCAGTTATTCATATTACAACACAACGAAAACAGTTCACTTCTCTTTTATAAATTATTAAATAACTACAGAATCTCATGTTCCATATTGCGGACTAATTCCAATTAAACAATCATTGAAAAGCAAGAAGTATTGGACAGCTGTTTCATCTTAGCATGAGGCATCTCAATAGCAGTCCTTATTCACGACAGCGATATAGAGAATCAAAACTGGGCCTTTTAAGTCTCACAATGAGTTCTTGACCTTATGACCACTTAGCTGGCAACCAATGATTTATCTTTATAACGTCAATTGATTCACAATATTACGAAACTATCTCTCAATGTCATTGGTGGGCATCTGTCTCATATTCGGTATAGTTTAACTCCGTTGGTCACAACTCCTCTTCTACTAGAATGAAATCTTTATCCAGTGTTTTTTCGTCTTCGTTAGGTTGTTTAACTAAGAGCAGTCTATAATGTAAACTGTGAAATTCAAAGATCTCAATAAACCTCTAGTGTATTTTTCATTTCTTACTTTCAGTGATTCCTCCTTTGTAATTTATGCCCAGAAATCGCCATAACAACCACATAAATTAATAAAATAAAGTTTATGAACAGTTTATCCCTTTATACATATATGCAACCACACAGTATACGCAAACGGATAGAACGATAGTGAAACCAGTATAATAAATGAATGAATAAATTAATTAATAAAAAAGACAAATCTGTCAATACTGGTTTATTTTTACCACTTGTTCTTCTTATACTGAAATATGTTCATCACGGTCAACTGAACAAGGAGTATGTTGATTAACTTTCTTCTCTAAAGACTAAATAATCGTTTTTTTTTCTAAGCAGAAATGGATGGTGGCTAACAGTGGAATCTAGAACGAAGTTTTCGTCCTATTTGGGACTCGTCTTCTAGATGAACCTATATCCCAGTGTTGATGTTTGTTTCTGGAACTCGAACCCAGCACCGTTCGCTTGAACCGCTATTACGCTATTCACCTATTTCATTCCACAAACTAGTGGCTTTCTGTACTCACTAGATAAGTGATATTTACTAATGTGTCAGTGAGTTGGAAGAAAGTTAGAGACAAATGATCTAAAATGGGACATTAGTTCAAGGATTTATTGCCCGTTGGCCTGATTCATTTGTTGGTAGATACAAATCACGTGGTTTAGGTCCTCACGGTCCTTGTGACAATTAGTAAGAGACACTAAGCGATATGACACAAAGTCTAACACTATAGTACAGATGTATCTCTTCTTTATCCTTCATTAGATCCTGAATTCCGTAATTTTCTACTGTTAATGATATTGTTATACGTCTACTACTCTACAATGTTTTTTGATAATTTCATTTCACTATGTTATTATGATATGGCAGTTTAAATGGTTGTGTATATGTGGCAGGTTTGATATTGGCATATAACTGATTGGTTGTGAATGAAATAATTGTTCACTGTTCTTAGACTTTCAATTATATCCTAATTCAATTCAATCTATGATGGATAACAAGTTAAAAATTACACAGTCCTCTGAAAATACCCATTGAACTAAATGTGAAAACTATTTATATATCCAAATTTCTTTTAAAAATTAACTGTTATTATTATTATTATTATCAGAATGGGTTTTTGTGAAGACTATAGAAATTTGAATGATTGAAATCATGAGTCAATTGAAGGTCGACTACCATGGAAAACCTGGAAACACTAGACGGCCGTTTCGTTCTATTGTGGAATAACTCGGCACTGCGCATCCACGATCCCACCTCGCCGTATTCGAACCCAGCAGCTATCAGTCTCGTGCGCGAGCGCTTAACCATTAGACCATCGAGCCAGCATCCAACGGTGTTAATGTGTAACTTTAGCTAATTTTTAACTTAATATTATTAATATTATTATTGTCAGTATATGCATTTATTCTTCTCCTAGGTATTTGATCAGAATGGTGACTCGGTCATTGATTTTAGTGAAATTAAACAAACAATGCATTTTTTGGGTGAAGCAGTCACTGATGATGAAGTACGTCAAATGATTAAAGAAGCTGATTTAGATAAAAATGGATCAATTGATTTTAGAGGTAAAATAGTAAATTTGACTCTTTTTATTTCTCTTAAGAGTTTGTTTTTATTGTTAATAATAATCTGTGAGGACAGTTCACGGGTGGACTCGAGGAAGCTCTAAAAAGTTCAGAAAGATCTGAAGATATTCCATCCAATCATCTTTTGGAAAAATACAATAATGGTGATGATGATGATGACAATCGCTTTAGTTTTTTTATTATGTAGAATCACTGTTCCTATAGATTCCTCATTGAAAATCGGTTGACTGTCGTACATCGATAAATCCATTCGTTTCTTCCTCTAATTAGATCTTATCCAGTCCTTCCTTGTTTTCAGTGGTTCTCTTTCTAGTTAAGATCAGACCTTCACAAAATCCTAAGGATAAAAATTTTCGATTCATGAAGTGAATTGCTAGAATATCAATCAATGGTTAATGATTCAGTCATACAATGTAGCCGAGTGATAACGGTTATTCACGAGATCGAATTGCTGATATAATCCCCTTATTAATCTGATATTAGACTATAAGATTACTAACTATCCAGTAGAATAAGTACGTATTTTTTTCTTCATTTAACAAAATAATACAATTAATCTGAATGACTTCCAGGGGATTTCGATTGAGATTCTGAGACACAAGTGCAGCACTTATCAGCAGAAGATTGAAATAAGAAGAAAAAGCAAAGCAGAGAGAAATCCCAATAACACCAGGATTGGTAAAACGATAGAGTATGTAAAGAACAAATAAAGGAAAATTTGCAAATAATGTATTCAATGTATGATTTGCATATTTTACAAATCCATTCAGTGATTCGCTTAAAAATGATAAATTGGTTTTCCCTACCAAGTTTTTGTTTACTACAAGACCATCATTGGGAACCCGGAAGCAATAAATGACCTTTCTGTCCTCGTAGGTGAATTCTTAGTATAGTACGCATCCACGACTCGGCATCTGAAAATCGAATCTAGGATATTTGGTCTTGTTGACAATTGCTTAACTTCTAGATCATTAAGCTAGCACCCAGAGAATGTTACTATCTAACTTCAGTCGATTCCAGATATTATGTGACCATCTTTAATTATCTCTGGTGGATAGTTATCTCATATTAGGACAAAATACTCACCCAGTGCTCTCAGATTTTCAATAGTACTTTATATAAGGTCAGTTCAGAATTCGAAAATTACGAAAATTTCATTATCTCCACAAAATTTTATTATAAATGAACTGAACTTAGACAATGTAAATTATCGATCACTGTTTAAATAGTACTGCTCTTGCTACAAAACTGAACGGACTCCAATCTCATATTGGATTACAAGTGTATGCATTGTTGAATCCCAGAATAAATCATCTTAACTATCCTTTAATAATACTTTATATCTTTCAATGGTTCTCTAAAGTGTTCTCAAATAATCATAAGTGACTATATTATCATACATGATTGCTTTCACTTATTTTGTTATCTATTCTTTCATGATAGAATTCAAAATGATGATGAAATCACTACGGTCACGTGATGGTAAAAAGAAGAAATCGAAATAACCACTTGTTTTTTCTACGTTTCTTTTTTTCCACATCTAAACTAATTCCTTATTGATTCATTGTAAAACTTCACCTATTTTGTTTGTCTATAAAATCAATTGAAATAAAAACTTCCAAAATACTCAATTATATACACATAATTATATGTATATGTATATATACTAATATAATGTTTACGGTAACAGTCAATTGACAACAACAGGTCCCATATATATATATATATATATATATATATATATATATGTCGTTATCGGTATAGTAATTTAAGAAGCATTACATTTTATCAAAAGTCTATACACAGTACCATATTTTTCACGTATTTTTATATGTATGTATGTATGTGTGAATGAATATTCTTATTCTATTGTAAAGACCTGGAGAAATGTCTGCTTCCATCACTCACTAACACACATACACACTCGCACACACACATACACGCACGCACACACAAAGTATTTCGACCATATGTCTGTATGTTTCTATGGCAGCGTGCCTATATTCTTTATTTCTGAATTATTACTTTTCCTCTTCTTATTTTTGTGCACTTAAAGTATCTAATATTTGATTTAATGATTTGTTCATCTTTTGTTTTGTTTTGTTTTTTCTTTGATTTTTCTTCATTTCGTAATTGTTTCTATTTGTCTATCTGTTTATCATTTATTTGAGATGGACTATAATAATGGATCGTTTTTACCTTGTTTACAAGTGAATATTTATTGTGGGATTTCATTTATAATCTCTGCTATCTCATTACATAGACAAGTTATGTTTGTGTTTCATTTCTTCTGTATTTTATGAATAAACAAGAAATGATTTCTATATTCTATCTCAACTTTAAGCATACAGATCAATTCGAAAAGACACAACAGTTTCTTGCCAGTGTCATTATCATCATCATTATCGTTAAAATTCATCTTCAATCCAGCACTATTCAGCGTGTAGATTTGCTTTACTGTATTACTCTGTTTCAATTTTTCTATACCTATGTTTGTGTGCACGTGCGTGCGGGAGGTGTGTACGTATATTTGTACGTTGATCCTTAGTCGAGATCTCTTCCTCGAAAGTAATCTATTCAACATTGTTTGTTTTTTAAATTATTTTTCCTATATAGATAAATGTGGTTTTCATTGAGACCTGTGATTATTATCATTAGTACAGTTACATAAACCAAATGTTCTCCTGGCTCATTGTTTTTCTCCCTCCCTCTCTCTCTCTTCTTTTTTGTAATCATAACAATAAAAAAGAATAGTGTTCATCCAATGGTTGCTAATATATCCTTTCATCTGTATTACATCCTCTTCATTATATTATATCCATCATTGTTGATTCTTAAGATTCAATCATCCAACTTGAATATTTCCTCCGTTTATCTACTAGATGCATATACACATTAATAAGCAAATATTGTTGAGAAAGTTTCCTTTACAAAATTATATATAATGACATTTAACAACAAAATATCATTTAAATAACAATTATTATTATCATTAATACTATCATTACTCATAGACTACTAATTATCGTATATCAGTAGTAGTATTAGTAGTAATAGTACTAGTGACTGTAGTAATTAATTAATACTAAACAAACGAACACGACAAAGAAGGAAAGAAAGAAAGAAAAAAAAACGATTAAACAACATTCCAAAAAAAAATTTTTTTTAATTTCAATCTTAGATTTTCACAATAGAAATTAGGGAAGCAAACTAGTTCTTCTTTTTCTCTTTTTTTTTCTTCATTCAATTATTTATTTTGCATGTTCATCCTATGTGCATGTTTACTTAGATCTGTATGAATATGTTAATGTAATCAATTTAGTTTTCTGTTTAAAAAAATGAAAAAAAAGGACATCATAAATTGATTAGTTCATTTTGATAGAAATTAACCATCTTAATTTCTAGAAGAAAGAATAAACTTCCAAAAAAAAAAAAAGTTAGATCCCCAGAACTCACTTGGGAAATGATCTAACAAGTAATAGTAGTAGTAGTTGAAATGTAGTAGTACTCTTCCTCTCCCTCCTTCTCTCCCTCTCTTCCTCTCTCTCTCTCCTTCCCACTCCATTTACTGACTCCTCATTTTCAAGTAGTTTATCTTTAGATAATTTTGAGCTAAGGTTGGGAGAGATTTTCTTCTATCATTATCTTCCACTGTTTATTAGAGATTATCTTAAACTTTAAATGAATTTTGTACACTTCATTAATGCTCTTCTCATTTATAATTCTATGATCATATGATTTATCTTTTAACAATCATTTTCATAATAATTTTAATATACATAGACTGCATATAGTACTTGTGTGTATTACCATTATATAGAGAAAAAAACTGTCATGTAAATCCTCTACTACATAGAATATGAACTTTAGCTAATACAATAAGGACCACTACATATTGTTTCTAATAAAATAAATCTCTTTCTCACTATTTGTGTTTCTATCTCTCTCTCTTTAAGTGTGTGTGTGTGTGTGTATCGGTGTGTGGGTGTGAGTGCATGTGTTGTTGAGAGACAAGTTCCCCTTCATCCCTTATTGATTATCATTAATATTAATATTATTATCATCATCATTGTTTCATTATTATTATTATTATTATTATTATTATTATTATTATTATTGAATCTGCTCAATGAATGAAGAATATTAACCAAATTGATTAAAACATTATTCTTCATTCACAGAATTATCTCTTTGTAGTGATTTTAATTGTATCCATTTTGGGTTTCTCAACTTTTTATTTTCAGTTTCTTTTTTTTTTGTTAGAAAAAATAACAAACAAACAATTCGATTGATTGATTAATTTGTTTTTTTGTATTTTGTATTTGTTTACGTTAACATTTAAAATTAGTAGTTGAGACAAAATAATATTTTATAGTTTAAAAAAGAAAAAAAGATTTAGGCCACCACCACCACCCCACCCTTGTCGATAGTGTCTCCCTATCCTACAGCGTTTCATCATTTTTTAAATAGTTGCACTACTGTTGCACTCCTGCTTTGTCACCAGTTAATATTGATTGGTTGGATTGATAACTTGATTGAATCTTGATTAGTTGATAAAATGAATTTCGTATCTATTGTTCAGCATCCGTTCAATGGAAATACTTCAAATGTACAGAGTAAATTTTGATTGTTTCATAAAGAACGTTTGTCTATGAGCCATAGAAATTGATACCGATCTCATAGTTACATTTCGACAACATCTTAGGCATCGGACCTTCCTTCCTAAACTTCAGCTTATAAACGCGACTGCACACTGAAAACACAACTGTATTTAACGTCTTCAAATCATAAATATCAGTTTATTGATGAGTGGTAGGATAGAAATCTATATAGCAGAATCTTGAATAGTTTTGCAATAAACAAAAAACATTGAAGATGATAGGTCTATATCGCGCTATCTGATTAGGAACACTCATATGTTTAGTTTATCACCACCTCTTATTCACGGGAAACCCATGGTGTCATCAAATTTCAACGAACGTTAAGGCTTATATCTTATGCATTAGTTACCATTTTATAAGAGATTAAAACCAGTCCATCTATATCATGACAGTTTATTTTTTTCTTTTCAACGAAATTCAATATTTTCAATAGATTGATTCCCAAGTAGTGATTAATGCCATATTTGTTTAGTGCCTTGGTGCTACTGATCGAATTCTATCGAACAAGTTGTTTTGTGGATACTAGTCTGAGAGATTTGACATCACGTACTGTATGTTGAAATGTTAGGTGATTAGAGGTAGTCAAAAGGAAACCTTGCCTCACTTAGATTCCGTACATTTCGGTACTTGTCAGTAAGTACTATCTGTAATCTTGGTGGAACCGGTTCTCTCAGAAAAATTAAAACCAGTGTCATCCATAACATCAACTGTGAACAAACCAGTCTTACAGGAGATCCGTCATGACGTGAATAATTGATAAGTAATATTTCAGACTCGAAATTTGAATGAAGCAGCTTCGAATCCCACATATCGCATCAGTTTCAGCAAGATCGGAAGTTCGCCATGCCAGTTAGCATAAAGTTTAGGTTAAGCAAGATTTTCGACTGACTAACTTCAGACATTAAACATCATTCAATTAAATATACACAACAGATTTACTTACGCCTGTTACTCCTAATGGAGCATGGACCACTGATCAGCATTCTCCATCCCACTCTCTCCTGGGCCTTCTTTTCTTGTTCTATCCAATTCTTGTTCATTCTTCTCATGCCTGTCTCCATTTCTCGACGTAATGTATTCTTTGGTCATACTTTCTTCCTTTGGCCTTCAGGATTCCATGTGAGAGCTTGCCTTGTAATGCAGTTTGGTGCTTTCCTCAATGTGTGTCCTATCCACTTCCAGTGCAGCTTCCCGATTTCCTCCCCCACTAGAATCTTCTTTGTTCTCTGCCGTAGCAGGTTGTTACCGATAGTGTCTGGCCAACAAATCCGAAGTATTTTGTGTAGACAACTATTAATAAACACTTGTATCTTCTGGATGGTGGCTTTCGTAGTTCTCCAAAATCCTCCTCCTACAGTAAAACTGTGTTGACATTTGTGTTGAAAATTTTAACTTTGGCGTAGGCTTGCGGACAGTTGTTTTGAGTTCCAGATATTGTTCAGTTGTAAATATGCTGCTCTTGCTTTAGCGATCCGTGTCTTCACATCTGCATCGGATCCACTGTGTTCATCAATGATGCTTCCCAGATATATAAAGGTTTTTACATCTTCGAAATCTTCTCTGTCAATTGTGATTAGATTGGTGCATGCTGTGTTGTATCGGAGAATCTTGCTTTTCCCTTTGTGTATATTGAGACCTATTGCTGCTGAGACAGATGCTACACTAGTTGTCTTCTCTTGCATTTGTTGTTGCGTATGCGATAGAAGAGCCAGATCATCTGCGAAGTCTAGATCGTCCAACTGCATCCTAGCTGTCCACTGTATCTCATGCTCCCCTCCAGATGTCAACTTCTTCATTATCCAGTCGATCACCAGGAGAAAGAGAAAAGGTGAGTGTAAGCAACCTTGCCTGACACCAGTCTTTACTTCGAACGACTTTGTCAACTGTCCTCCATGCACGATTTTGCAGTTTAATCCATCATAGGAATTCTGTATGATATTGACTATCTTCTGAGGCACACCACAGTGTCAAAGAAGCCTCCATAGCGTTGTCCTGTTCACGCTATCAAATGCTTTCTCGTAGTCAATGAAGCTGATGTAGAGTGATGAGTTTCATTCAATTGATTGTTTCAGAATGACTCGTAGTTTTGCGATTTGGTCGGTACACGATCTATCCTTACGGAATCCTGCCTGTTGGTCGTGAAGTTGTGCGTCTACGGAGTCCTTCATCCTGTTTGACAATACCCTGTTGAAGACTTTTCCTGATATTGAGAGAAGAGTGATTCCCCTATAGTTATCACACTTGCTAAGATCGTCTTTTTCTGGTATCTTGACCAGGTGTCCTTTTTTCCAGTCTGTTGGTACTTGTTCTTCATCCCAAATCTTGCTGAAGAGAATTGGCAGTATCTTAGCAGTTACTGCTACATCTGCTTTCAATGCCTCTGCTGGAATGTTGTCTGGTCCCGCTGCTTTGCCGCTCTTGATTTGTCTGATGGCCATACTGATCTCTTCAATTGTTGGTGGGCCAACATCGATTGGGAGGTCCATGGGTGCTGCTTCGATGTTGGGTGGGTTAAGTGGAGCTGGTCTATTCAAGAGTTCTTTGAAGTGTTCTACCCACCTGTTACACTATTCTTCAATTCTGGTGATTACTTTGCCTTCTTTGCTTTTCACTGGTCGTCCTGGTTTACGATATTTTCCAGCGAGTTTCTTCGTTGTATCATACAATTATCTCATGTTTCCTTCTCTTGCAGGCTTTTCCGCCGTCATTGCTAGATCTTCCACATATTTACGTTTGTTGGTTCTGATACTCCTCTTCACTTGCTTGTTTACTTCTGTGTACTCAGCGCGTGCCTGTGTAGTGTGATCCAGTGAAGTCCATGTTGATTTGTGTATACGTTTATGTGAGAAAATAGTGCCGCCTATGACCATTTTTTTCTGAAGACACATAGGTTTGCAAATCTCTCACCATTTTCGTTTCTTTCTCTTAATCCATGTTGTCGCATGATGTCTTCATATCTGGTGTTGTCCATTCCAACCTTGGCACTTAGGTCTCCCATCTGAACGATCAAGTTCTTTTTTAGACACTTCTCGACGATTGAATACAGCCTATTGTAGAATTGATCTTTAATGTCTCCATTGTAGTCGTTGGTAGGCTCATAGCATTGATTGACGTTCATTGTAATACCCTCTTTCTTTGTTTTGAAGAAGGCTTTGATGATCCTTGATCCATGAGATTCCCATCGTATAAGTTGTTTCTTATGCTTGTTTGGATAACATCAATAAAACTCCTTGTGTATATGAAGCATTTTCTTCTTCATGATCAGAGTATAAAGAAAGCTCCCCTGAAACTAGTTGTTGTTATTGTCCAACTTGCATCCAATGTATTTCACCAATTCCAAACACATCCAAGTTGTATCTTTTCATTTCTGCAACAATTTGGAAGACTCTCCCAGTTTTCCACATTGTACGAACATTCCATAGACCTAAATTAATGGTTGCTTTAGTTGTCAGATTTACATGTTTATAATAATAATGATAATAATAATAATTCACATTTCAACTCAACAACACAAAATTTCTCTTATATATATGTATACATCAAGATAACTTTCATACTATTCACATGTGCTATCATTGTTTAAATAAACAAACAAAATATGTAACGTATTCAAGTGAGATTTCAAATAAAATAAGGGGGATAATTTATTACCCGTATTGACAATTTTTATATACCCTATTGATAATTTTATTGATAAGAGATTTGATTGACTGCACAGTTTTAGTTTGTTTTTTGAAAAAAACAAACTAACTAACTAACAATAAATGTAAACCATTTTATTACAAAATAACATTTTTAATATGTGACCATGTATAATATTTAGATTCAATACTTTCGATCGAATATCTTCGGTGATCTAACAGGAACAATTATAGTTTAGATGGTGGTTGGAGGTGGTCGACAGGAAACCCTGGACCCGAGTTTCGTGCTACTTGGCACTCGTCAGCAAGGTGTACCTGTAATCTTCGAGGGAACTGGTGCTCCCTGGCGGATTCGATCCCAGCTTCACAGTCAGAGACGTTACCACTGAGCTATCCGGGCCGCGACTGACCTCCTGTAGGAACAATTATAGTAACTATCATACAATCATATTTCGATTATGGTTCATTTTGGTTATGGTTTTTATTTTTTTTATTTTATTTAAACACATAAATATTGGTACAAGGAGGCACTAAATAGATATGCACCACATAAATCATTCGATTTGTATGGGTGGAGAAGATTTGTAGCTCAGGTGAATGATTTTGATAGAGTTTTGTTCTCTGAGCTAGATGATTTGATCGTGGAGCTTTCATTGTTCTTCTGAACCACATCATCACAAACTTTAGTGAAGTGTTTGAATTTTTTCTTATGTGGTTCACAGCTTGTCCTGTAGACCTCCATGTTGATTGGTTCTTTTTGACCTTAAACGTGTTATTGTTTACTTCTTTGTTTTGCTTATAATTCCCATTGGTTTGATTTTTGTTTCTATGTTTATGCATACTACTCGGGTGACCAAACCGAAGTGGGTGGTTTTCTTAGGGGGCCACACACGGAGCCTTCAACCTAATAGTCTGATGCACAAGGCAGTGGAGCAATATTGGGAGATGCAATCCCATAGTAGCCGGTGATGTACAATAGGTTCATACGCCATTTTTTCCTTCAGGATCCTGGAGACCATGTACACCATTGATTTGGAATCAGAATTTGCTTACTCAGCTAATTGAATCCTCCATATTCACCAAGTTGGTTAAAGCACCGGACATTCGCTTTTCGTCCTCTCAAGTTCGTAAACAACTTCCTTGGTGAGAGAATGCAGTGAGTAGGACTTCCCTGGCAGTGGCCATGTAAGAGTATAGGAGAGCTAACTCCCCACTCTCGGTCGTACCAGGGCATTTGGGGGCCTTTATATTAACTTACTTAACAGATAATGTTATTAGAACAGTAACAAATCGCCTATTGACTTGTACTGTTATGATCACTAGATCACATGACAGACTCTAGTTAATATGTTGATTACTTAAATATCACTTGATGTTTCATCCTCCTCTCCATGTAGGTATATACTTAAATCCTATTATTAGTCCTTGCTTTGTATTACTGTGCCCTTATGTGATTTGA